AAGCCGGCAGGGCCAGGACTTCCCACGGCCTGGCTGGGGGCGTCCTGCTGGCCTTGCTCAGCCCAAATAACTCACATTCTCTGAATTCGCAGGGTAATCTGCTTCATGGGAGCCCTGTAAACCAGGCTGACACACACGCTGAAGCTGCACATGTAAATATTTGCGCATCTCTCCAGCCTGTCTTTCTGGCGATTAGGAGCCTCTTGGTAGGTCTTCAGAAAAAAGAAAAAACAGCAACAGCAACAACAACCCAAACCAAGCCCCATTTCTCCCTGAACCCTTCCCCAGCCCCTGAAATAAATTGGGCGTGTGCATATGTGAAATATCGGAATAGTTCCTTGGAACATTTATGCTGGGAACAGAGCAATGACATCAGGGAGTTCTGATTTGGGGCTGTCCTGGTCCTTAGCTGGGTCCTTTTTCACCAGGTGCCTCTGGAAGTTGATGAAGATACATATTCTGATGACTCCATCCCCGTGCAAAGTGTCTACACTTTAATGTTAGGGTAAATTCGTAAAGCTACATACAGACTGGTGCTGGAAGGCTTTTGCCCAGTGCTCTACATCATCTCCATTTGCTTTCCATGGAGGACAAATGGGTCAGGCTTGGGGGAGCTGCACATCACTTCCTCCCTCACTGAGTCCCCCAGGAGACCCAGCTTGGGATCCTGCCCCCAGGTCTGGGTCCAGCTCCTGACCCAATCCAGGTCCTGCAGCTGGGTGCTCAGCAGAGCCAAGGCTGACTGCCGGCAGGCTTTCAAACTGGACCCCAGGTTAAGAACAGGAGCTTAGCTTAGATGCCTCTGAATCCTTGGCTGGTTTTGGACACCCCAGACCCAGTTTAAAAACCCTTGGGCTATTAAAGTCACCGCTATACACACCCTCCCCTCCAGAAACTAAATCTTCTCAAGGTGACATTTCCTTTGTTGAATGCAAGGTACACATGGTTTCTTTCCTGTCACAAATGCTTAGCTTTGTTCAGGAATGAGGATTTTCCTCAAGAAGTGGAGCTGTTTTCTTTTTTTCTTTTCAGAAGGGCAATGTGATGGTTAGACTCTGATATGTGCAGTGTAGTACACTGTGGTAAATCACTTAGTTTCCAATAGCTCGCTGTAGAATTATGTATCAGTCTTTAACACTTGCCATTGTGTTGCTACACAGAGGAAAAGCCATGTCTTGCCTTAGTTGTCTTAATGACCCCCGTGGAGTTTGAATAATATCAGGACGTGGACATTTACAGAAAAATTCAGGGAGCAAAGGGAAAGGCAAATTGCTAGGCATCAGCTGCCACCTCCTTCCCACTGCCCAGGAGGCTCAGCCAAGTTGTGGGGCTCTGCGGGCAGGAAATCCCCAGTGTACATCCCATTAAAGTGACTTACAAAGCAAGGAAGGCTGAGCCGGCTGGAAGAAGCAGGCAGGAACTGAGGAACTGAAGAGGTCCCATGGATCAAAGCTGGGCACAGAAGGGAGCTGCTTTGGTGTCCCCACGTGTGCATCTTGTAGGCATTGAAACCACGGCAGGAAGACACAAACTGCAGCTTCGCATCAGGGGCACACTGCCCTCCTCTTGGATGTATTGCCTGTGCAGATCGGTACTGTGGTCTAAACACGGGGAACCAGTGCCTTGCACAGAGGTGCTGTGCAAGGGGGATTCAAAGCTCTCCCTGAAGAGGCCAGTTTCTAAGGTCCCTTGAAAGCCTGGGTTATCAGGTAAAACCACCTTGAGAGGTGGAACAGGGCAGTCACATGAATACACATGGCTGTTTGGGGTCGTGGAAGGGTGGGTTTGGAGGAGGCTTTGAATTCTGACCTGAATATGCACAGACCCTGTGACCTGTAGATTTCATAGCATTTCAAACTTGGGTTTCAGCATTGCCATTAAAATAGGGCCAAAAATTCATTCCTACCTAGAAGTCAGCTCTGTGGATTGATACAGCAGTGTGCATTGTGTGTGAAATACTCAACACACGAGTAACACCAAGTTTTAGTTATTTCCCTTAAATTCTGAACTGCAAATTTTTGATCACAGACACATCTCTTCCATGCTCAAATAGAGCTCTGGCGATAATTTTGGTACCTAGACAGAGAATGGGGCCCGCATGGTGTTACTGGGACTATTACTTACATGGGGCCAAGCTGTGGTGTGTAGGAATGTAAAATTCCGTTACTGGTCTGAACTCTGTTATATGCCTGCTATAGAAACCACACTTTCAAATTCTCATTTGGAGCCTTCAGAACTCAGAAGTTTTTATTTGGCCCCAAGAACTGTCCAGGAAGTCATCGGTTTTCTGCCTTGGGCATTGTCCCTATTTAAGCACTGCAGTGGCGGAGAGCCGAGCTGGGGGCGGCAGGGTGCTGTGTGGGTTACCCTCGCCAGCTGCATTCTGCAGGCGCTGGGTGAAGCTGGGCTTGGCCGCCGGGGAATAACGCAGAGCGGAGACCGATTCTCAGGACCAGGGATGCCGTTCCCAGTCTCCTGCCTCTTTCCTGGGAGACACTTTAAAAGCAACAATGCGGACCTCGGTGCCTTTGGAATCCTAAATTTGGCTTTGGAAACAGGAAAGACGCTCCAAATGTTGCGGAGAGCTAGGCCACTCTTCGCGCCGGCCGAGGAGCGGAGGACAGGGCGGTTTCTGAGCTCCGGGAGCCGGGCCCGGCCAAGTGCCGAGGAGCGAGCGGCAGCGTCCCAGCGCGGGCTGAACATGCGGCCCAGAAGGAGCAGCGTTGTGCCGACCCGGTGGCCCTGGGGCTAACCCTTTGGAGGGGCCCCGACCCAATCTATTCTTTAGGATGAAGCAGGAAGGCTGCTCCTCCAGGGCCAGGTTTTGTCGCCGAGGGTCCCGGGTGCTGTGCGCGGGCGATCGGCCTGGAACCCCCGTGCTCGAGCACCGCTGTGACTCCAAGAAAAGCGGTGTCCGTGGGTCCCAGGCAGTTGGAAGGCATCCTCAGAGCCCGTGTCTGAGGGAGGGAAAGTGTTGGAGCTCTTGGCGCCGCGATGTCCACAGCCGGCCTGGGTTTAGGGAGTCACCAAGGCCAGCGCTCGGTCTGAGTGAGACCGAAGGTCGCACGGGTCTCCCAGCCGGAGCCGTCGCTCTCCCCTCCTCCCCGGGCCACAGGCGGCCCCGCTCTTCTCCTGGGAGCCTGAGGCAGCAGGAAAGATGCACTTTGGACTCCTGCTCCCCAGCTCTTCCTCTCAAGGAAACCCAGCGCCTGAGTCGGGTCTGAAAGCGACAGCGTCCCAAGAACTATGAAGAAAAGTCTTTTGTGATCCCCAGGCATGCCAAAACCAGACCTGCCCTCCCGACACGCTGCACCTTCCACCCGCTCAGCTCAGCTTTTTCCGCCTCTCTGCCACTCCCCTCTCCCTTCTCTGGCCTCTTCTCCCCTCTCTTCTCTTCTCTTCCTCCTCTTCTCGTTTTCTCTTCTGCTGCCCTCTTTCTTCTTTCTCTTCTTCTCCTCTCCTTCTCTTCCCTCCCCTTCCTCCTCCCTCCCCTCCTCCTCCTCCTCCTCCTCCCACCTTCCCCTTTGATCACCACTGCCTTCTGCACCCCACTGCCTGGCTGTTGACAGCTGCTGTCTGTTTAAAACTTACTTATTTTATATGTCCTGACTTTTTTTTGTTGTTTGACAGGAACCTCCCTTCTAAAAATTATTAGAATATTTTCTTGATTACTGAGGTTTTTTTGGACATCTGTCAAAATTTTAGGCTCTGACCCTCATCCTGGGGCTGTCAGGAAGATTAAAAATCTGATCAAATTTTTTTCTGGTCATAAGCAGTAAGGGAGGGACTCCGCCCCAAACTTGTGACTTTGAAAGCACTGTGCCTGCAGTCATGGCACAGGCTGGGCTATCAAGCTGGGGAGAAAAGCAAGAGTAGGTGCTTCTGCTTGGGAATGACATCTGGGTTGCAGGGGTTCCCGGGTAGCCCCAGCCCACACCCTAGGCCTGCACAGGGTCTCCCTCTAAGCTGGACAGGGTCCACGAGGGCCCTTTTGAGCTGGGGTTTCTTGGGTGTTTAAAACCAAACTCAAACGAAATGAGACAACCTCTGCAGAAGAGCAGCCACTGTTGTCTTGCTGTCACCTACCCTTCCAAAGCAGAGCCAGTTTTGTGGGTGTCGCCCAATCAGACTTGCGGCGGTGGACATTTGGGAAAGTGATTGCCTTCCTCCAGAGCCTGCGCTATCGCTTCTCGTTTTGGCTGGAATATCTTCCTACATCTTACAGTTACTTCCCATCTTTGCTTTTTGACAGAGACAGCTGTTTGCTGACAACCTCTCCACATCTATGGCACAGGTTTGGGTGATCCTAGGGGGAAGACCTGGCAGGAAGTAGCCCTGTAAGGTTTCTGCCACTGACCCTCATAGCAAGTCAGGCCGGAAACCCAGGAGTGAAGTTCATTTTATTCCCAGCAAAGTGGCAACATTCACCTTTCCTGGGTTTGGATACCAATTCCCAAATGTCAGCAGGTTCCAGACAGTTTGAAATGCGTATTACGTGAGAGAACAAGGCTTGTGTATCTAATAAAAGATACAGAAGGCAGAGTTCAGTATTTGTTTATTCGTCAACATTGCCTCTCACTTACTCTGGGCTGGGCTGGGCTCTGCTGGGCTCTGCTGGGTGCAGTGATCAGAGCCCTAAACTTCCTGCCTCCTGCAACTCGCAGACTGGTAAGAGACAGGGATGGTGCCCGTGGAAAGAGACACAGAACAGAGTGGTTTCATAAAGGTTTGAAGAAAGTAGTAGTGGACTAAGTTCAACCTATTCAAGGGCATTCATTCATCCTGGGCCAGGCACTGGCTTGTGGATGTGGGATGAGGTATGACATTTTGCATAGGATCCCTGCCCACCCAGGGTTCAAAGCCTACTGTATTTCCCAAAAATAAGACCTAGTCAGAAAATAAGAGCTGGTCATTACTATGGTGATGGCCAGTGTCCTGCAGGTTGTACCTCACTATTCTCTTGTTCCGTGGTTACTCTGTAACTGGAAGATGATTGGGGCTGTCATTTTTTATTTCTACTTTTCAAGGCTGATTACTTTCCATTTAGTTTTTATTTGGAGGAAAGCACAGGTAGCTTGGAGATGTATTTTATTTTAAAAGTTTTCTACTAGTGTGTGCTTACACTACATAATGATTACATTCATCACTGGAAGTTGGTACATGCACGTAACATATCTTAATTCTTTTTATGCCATATCCCTCCCCCTTTCCCTTCCTTCTTTCCCCGAGACTGTGGAAAGCTGAGGCAGGAAGATGTTCTGTTCATCCCAGCCTGAGAAAGGCAGCAGTTTGGCAAGACCTTCTCTCAAAACAAAACAAGAAATAAAAGAAACTTTAAAATGTTGAAAAAATGTGCTGGGAGTGTACCTCATTATGAAGGTCCTGCATTCAACCCTAGTAACCCCCTCAAAAAAGCATCAGTGTGGAAAACATACATTACATTCCCCTCAGTAGTTTGCTTAAAGAACCCCTAGGATATGTGGGCGAAATGGCATAATGGTTTTTTTTTTTTTTTTTTTTGCGGGGGAGGGTTTCCGGTACCGGGAATCGAATTCACGACCTCGTACTTGCCAGGCAGGCGCTATGCCGCTGAGCTAAATCCCCAGCCCGTGGCATAATGTTAAATACACATAAGGCAGAAAACTTGAATGGAGGAAACCCTTTGCGGAGAGGGGATTGGGATCCGACAACAGGCTGTGAAATTAGGTTACTGATTAGAAGATCACAACAAGGAATGAGGAGGAGGTGTGCGAAAGAACCACAGTTTCAAGCCTGCACTTCGGGGTTGGAGACGTGTGGCTCTCGCGCCTCTGTGGTGGGGGTGGAACGCCTGAGTGGCCCAGCAGAAGGGGGCAGATACCTGCAGAAGCTGGGACAAGGGGCCTCCGGTGCGCAGGACTTTCCTCCGTTACCTCGCACGTTGAAGGATTCTGTGTATATTTCAAGCCCAGGAGCGTCAGGTTTTCAATGCACCGCAGAGAACATCTATTCTACTTAGCACAAACGCACGAGGTCGGTAATAAGTCAGGCAGCGTTAGGGTGTGCAGGTTAGGGGTGCAGACAGTAGGGCGCGCAAGGTAAAGCCCCTCACTCGCCCGCCCACGCGTGAGGAGTTTCTGGTGGAACAAGACGCACCGGGTCTGTGCGACCCAAGCCTGCGTTCCTCAGTGTGGACCTCTAACCCACATCGATTTCTCCTAACTTGGTTTGGAAGCGGCAGCGATTTGGAGGAGGAGCTAGGCTTTCTTGGTGTCTGCAAGCAAAGGTTTCAGAGCCCAGGAACACGCGCAGGGCTGCGCTGTCTGCCCAAAGTGATCCCGAGACTCCGGCCCACGTGGGCAGCTGGGATCCGCGCGCTGCGTGCAGCTAGCACCTTCCCGGCCCGCAAAGCACAGGGCGAGCACGGGATCTGGCGGCCTTTGTCATTTTTTCTTTTCTTCTTTTCTGAGTTATTACCTAGTCACCCGCAGGCTCCTTGGGGTAGTAGAGACCTCGGCCTGAGGGAAGCCCCGAGGGTCCGGGGCTGCACCCCTCCGCCTGCCCGGTCTCCGGTCGTCCCTCTGCCCTTGAGCTTTGGAGGCCGACTGCCAGGGATCGCGCAGGCAGCTTTGCCCTTTGCTGGCCGGTGACCCGGGGTGATCCGTGCCGCTCTGAGCCTCAGTTTCTCGGGTTGGGAGGGGGAAGAAAGGCCGCGCAGCTGGGCAGGCGTGCCGAGGTCTAGGCCGCTCAGGCAGAGCAGGACGTGCAGAGCGCAGGTTGGGGACCCGGCCTCGGGCTGCAGCCACCTCCTTCCCCCGCAGCACCCTTCTTGGTCCGAGGACTCCGCCCTGAAGATGCGCGTCGACCCCGGTTCTGTCCTCCCCCAGGCTAGGGGTCGGGGTACAGGCACCCAGACGGCCCCGCCGCATAATCAGGACCATTATCAGACTGAGCTCTCGTGTGGCGCCGGCGGAGCTTTACCCCGGCAGCGCAGGGCGGGGAGGGGGTGGGGTCCGGGACCAGCCTGTCTCAGCCGCAGCTGCCTGTGCTTCCGGGGCATCGGGAGCCTGGAAGCGGCACGAACCATCTCAGCCCAGCCTTTTCCAGGCTCGTTTTATGAGCATTTCATTTCCCAGCTCTCCATCTGATGTTTGCAGTCGGGATAAACCACTGAACTTTAGTTTCCTCATAGGAAAAATGTGTCTGGACGGATATTTAACTCAACACTTGCGACCTGTGTGACTCTAACAAGTCACTTCACTGCTCTGTGCCCCGTCAGTCCTAAAGTGGATGGCTTTTAGCACGCACATCATCAGACTGCACACACCATGTGGAATGCCCGGCAAGGCACTCCTTAATTGTAGGGTGCTTACTGTTCGTTATTCGCACTTTTGGTTTTGGTTTTTGTGCGGGTTTTTTGGTTTTGTCTTTGGGTATTATTTTGTTTTTATTTTAGAAAGAAAAAAACAAAATTTCAAAACAAGATAATAGGGTAGCAATGGTTAATACATTGCGTATTATTATCTTTAAATTAGTTACTCAGAGTACAAGATATCGGCATTTAATTGTCCAAACAATACTAGCACAAACCTTTCTTTTCAATGAACTAAGAGAAATTAGTAGTATAACTATCTTAATTGTTTTGTATGTTGAGACAGGTATTCACTAAGTTGCTAAGTTGCCCAGGAAGTAAACCGATAATTTGTTGGAATTTGTAATTCTCC